CTGCCCTCCACTGCCTTCATTCTCTCATGTCCATATTCAGGGAAATTCCTGAATTTAGCCTTGACCCAAGATAGGATAGATTGTCCAATCTGACACCCTAAGAATCAAAGTGACCGCTAACAACGTAGAACAGCAAGATACCCCACTCTGTTGTGGTGCTATGGTAGGCAGTTTACTAGCAGAGGGTAAAGAATGTCGTCTACATTTTCAAGAAAGGAGGCTCAGACCATGGAAATGTCTAGTAAGTAGCAGAACTTGGATTTTTTTCTTTTTATCTTTTTCCCTTTTCCATCTGAGGTTGAAAGAGCTGAACCCAGGGCTATCTGCCACAAAGCCCGTGTGCTTCCCTGATAGAGCCTCGGATGAAGATGCTGAGCTACAATGTAGTATTAAACTGTATGGCTCCCGAGAAATGAGGTGACAAAGCTCAATTCTATAAGACAGTACAATTTTAAAAGGCTAGGGAAGGGAACAATTTTTGAAGCCATTCTCATTAACTTTCATCATCATTTCATCAAAAAAAATGACATTTTAGGGCCAGGCGCCCTGGCGTATGCCTATAATCTTAGTACTCTGAGAGGCTGAGGTGGGTAGATTGCCAAAGCTCACAGTTTCGAGACCAGCCTGAGCCCCCCTCTATAAAAATAGCCAGATGTTATGGTGGGTGCCTATGGTCCCAGCTACTCGGGGGGCTGAGACAAGAGAATCACTTGAGCCCAAGAGTTTTGAGGTTGCTGTGAGCTATGACACCACAGCCCTGTACTGAGGGTGACAGTGAGACTCTGTCTCAAAAAAAAATAAAAAAATATGAGACCAATAAAGTAGGTGGGTCATATTCTTAAAATAAGAAGTAATTCTTATTTTAGTTTTAGTTTGAGGAATGGGGAAGGCATTGGGCCTGTCGACCCTTCATCCCCACCCGTCCCCCTATTCCCTGCTCACCTCAGCTCTCCCCAGCTTCTGTTCTCCAGGCTGCTGATGGCCTTGCTGGGAGCAGTTTGGTTGCTCCATCTCCTCAGACCGGTCAGTTGTTTGGCCCTCAGAAGACCTTGCAGAAAGGCCATTCACTGCCAGGTTGGCACTACATCCCCCTGTGCCCTGAGCACCAGACTTGAGTACGGGCACCAAAGCCAAGCCTTCCCATGAGTATTTTTCCGAGTGAGTCTATTTATAAATGAAGGGATTAAATGGATTTTAAATTCGACTTAAGTTCTTGTCTCTCTAGGAAGGGACTTTACAGTACACAGTTACGTGTCAGCAATAGGGGCTTCAGAGTGAGACTGTGTTTAGATTAAACCCTTCTCACTGCCACTTACCAACTATGTGGCTTGTCTGTCTGAGCTACAGTTTCCTCATCTAAGACTCAGTGACAGTAGCTCCTTCCTTATGGTGTTGCTAGGGTGAGCTGAAGGAGTCGAAGTAAAACACATGATTCCTTTTGAGCCTCTGTGGTTGTATATACTATACAATGCAATATAGAAGGGTTGGAAGTTGCCTTATTGAGTTGTTAACCTCCAAGGCACTTAGAGCTTAGCTGGCACATATTAACTGCCCAATAAGTGATTGCTATTGTAATTGTAGAGAACTAAGAAGACAGGATGTACTGACAGACCTTAGTCTAAAAGCTGAAATAAGAAAGGTAAGGATTACCAGCAAACCTTCCCAGATCCTCTAAGCCCTTGGTGCCCCAAGGATCATGTCAGACGTGCACTCTTAGAACCACTGGCTGAGCCAGCCGTGAAGGCACTAAATGAAGATTGTCAGAGTGCAAAGACCTTGGGCAGTGAGGCTAGGGGAGTTTGGATTGAGTGCTAGTTTTGTAGCTCAGCAGCCTTGTGATGCCAGAACCTGGCTTCATCTCTTAATCTGGGCCTATTCCCTTGTTTGAACTGGCCAAATCAATCCTCATGATAATCGCAGGCATATACTACAGCTATCAATTGCACTTTTGCCACCTCACCATTTTCCATTATCCTTGGTCAGTGTGGTTGTGCCTTCAAAGAGAGCTCTGTGGCTATTGGTAGGAGTTCCCTGAGAGGAGTGAGACAAGCCCTGGTTGAAGCTGGTAACCAGGAGTCGGGTCGTAACCTGGGCAGTCACGGAGTAAGATGGGCTTCTGCTAGAACGAAGTTTGACAAGCTTGAGGTCCCTTCAGGGACCCACCAGGGCTGAGACCTACACTCTTTATTGTGCCAACCTGTGCCTGGGAGACTTTGTGGTCCAACCATTCCTGTTCATAGCTGTAGAAAGGGCTTCTAGTAGCTTCCAGTGAGCATCCTGCACCTTCTCTGATGGGAGATGGCAGAGGAACCCAAAGCCAGGGTTCTCTTTGTAATAGAGAACCCGTTTGTTTTCCTTCTCACTGCCCAAAAGGGAGAACAAGACTCAGGCCTGGACTGTCTTGAGACCTCCAACAGGAGGGCTGGAGCCAGTGCCAGAGCTGGAGGGAGGGTAGGGGAGCCTTTGGGAAATGTCAGCTTCACTTCCTGGCAGGGACCAGTGATTAGAGGTCAGTACAAGCTGTTATCTCAGGAGTTCTCGCAGAGTGCTGCGCTGTCTGACCTTCTGCAGTCGCACTCTAGTAGTTTATTATGGTATGGGGACCTCTGGTTCTGAATGTCTCTGCCTAAGGGCCAACGCTGTTTTTCAGCTGCCACATGCTACCTTCCTGCTGGTTGGTGGTCATCCTATTGAGGAGGTTGTCTTCAGCTCCGGTCCCACCAGAGAAGGAGGAAAGGAATGTTAAAGTCATAATGGGTCCCAAAGATGATGTTCGCACATCACATGTGACCATACGGTTTCCCTAGTCTTTTTGTTACAGTTCACAAAGTCTTAAATGCCTTAGAGGGTGAGAGTCCCACTAAACACCTTCCTTCATCTTCTGGCAGATACGTGTCGGTTACTGAAAGCACAGAGAAGCAATAGGGATGCTAAATTTAGAGTTTGAGAAGGCTGCCGTGTCGTTCGTTGGGGAGTATGTTTATGGGAATTTTATTTTCCCAAGTCAAAGTCTGGGAGACAAGACCCACAGATGGATTTTTGTTGAGCGGAATGAACAGGCAGAAGCAACAAAAGCAGCACGGTGAAAGGTTGGGCCTGAGAAACGCTGTCTCCTCTTCAGACCACGTACTCCTCCAGCGCCTTCAGCAGCCGCCCTGGCTTCCCTCCGCAGGCAGACGCTGGGTCATCCCACACCTGTGCTGGGAGCAGGCTCTCCTTTGACAGGTGTGGAAACTACTCCATTGTCTGCTGTGTGGGGAAGAGCCCAGACCAGAGCCTGAATCTGGACCTTTCTGTTAGAAAGGCCACCTTTTCTCGTTCATTAAAGTACCCCATTTGTCCTATTAAAAAGTTGAGTGTGACAATGTGGTATGTGTTCAGTATCAAAAAGTAGGGAAAGAGGACAATCCATTCATGACAGGAAGTGCAATGACTTTTGGTGTATTTCTTGCCAGGCTGTCCTACGCTGGGGGCCGGGGGCTTATTTTGTCCCATAGTTATGGTCACTGTATGCCACAGAACCTGGTAACCTGCTGTTTTTCACTTAACCCAGGGAAGTGGGTTTCCCCATCCCATTCCACATGCTGATAGTTGAGAAACAACTGTCTCATTTCGTTAGATCACTGAGTTGATGGCTCATTTGCTTAATTGTTCCTTATTTTTGGACTTGAGTTTATTACCTTGTAATTTAAATACACTTCAGTGAACATCTTTATTCATAAAATGCTTTTTATATTTGGGTTTATTTTTAAACTTCCAGGGATTGAAGGAGCTACTGGCCTAAACCTATCGAAAGCTCTGGAATCCCATTGCCAAATAGCATTCCAGAAGCTTTTTCCACTCTTCATAGTGTGGGGGGTGCTCTGACCCCAGCTAGAAACAGTTTTGGTGGTTGGATGGGAACCGTGGCCTGTTTACATCAAACACATTCATGGTGTCTGGTTGGGGACAGTTGGCTGCTGTGGGCCAGATGTTTCACAGTTACTATTCCACTCAGTTCCGTGTTCAAAGGAAGAAACCAAGGCTGACAGGAAGTAAATGGCCTGGTAATGCTCTACTCTGCTGCCTCCTGTGAGCACTAGCTGGGCACCTTCCCAGGAGCTGAGGAGATGGGCACAAGCAGCAAGTGATGTTGGCAGAGCGGCTGGCTCTACCTTACAGAGCAGGGTTGCAGGCACACGGGGAAAGTCTTGTCTGCTTTAGTTGTTCAGGGTGTGGCAGGTACTCGCCCAGTGCTGGGGCACTGTTGCTGTGGCCCCCTGCGCTCTCCTGTTCTATATGTATTCACTTAATTTCCATGGTAGCCTGTGATGTAGGTACTGGTGATGGGACCAAGGAACAGAGGGCTTAAATTTACCCGTGGTCAAGTGGCAGAGCCTGTTTACTGGCCCCACAGGTTTGGCTCCAGAACCCTTGTTCTTAACCCCATCAACATGCTGCAGTGGGCCGAACGGGACCAGGCGGTGGGCTCTAGGCAGGGCAGTGGGACTGTGGCCCTTCTAAGACATTGGTAGGTAGCCTCATTCAGGCTCCCAGAGGCGTAAGCCTCCTTTTCTGTAAAACAGGTAACTAACCTCAAGGGTATTGCTATGACGTTTACTACAGCACAATTAGTCATAGAGACTGGCAGGGTCTGTGGGGATGGGTCATCCAGAGGGGTGCCCTGGTGTCTTTCTCCTCGCAGCCTGGGGAAGCCAGGATGGGAAAGAGGAATGGGATCCATGATCTGGCCGGTACTGATTCAGCATGCTATTAAAGCCAGGGTCTGGCCTTTAATTGTTGTGACCTTGGGTAAGTTAATTAACCTGTGCCTCAGTTTCCCAGTCTGAGAAAATGAGTGTCTACAGTAAGGCAAGTCGTAGCAAAGCTAGGTTGACAGGAGGTATTTAGAAAACTCCTCCCCCGGCACACAGACAGCTTCAACGTTCCTCTGGGTTGGGAACTGGTGCCCCAGGCCCACTGACCCGATGTCCACTCCTTGCCTGCCTTCTGTCTTCCAGGTCGATCCCTCGGGACCCACAGTCTCACCATGTCTCGTACAGAGGACGGCAGAGGGGACAGGTGGTGGCTTGGCCGGTTGGCGATCTCCCAACAGCTGGATCTCGGGCAATGTGAAGCTTTCATTTGGGTTTCCCCCTTCCTTTTAGTTTTGCTTAATTTTTTTTTTTTTTGGTCTTTTTGTTTTTTAATTTAAACCATTGAGACTTCAAAAGAGCAGGAAGCTATGTGTGGACAGGCACCAGTTTCTTTAAAGAAATTCAATGTGGATAAGGCATATGCATAAATTTTACTTTTAATTTTTATAGGGGGTTAGGGAGCTACTTTTGTTTTTGTCTTTCACTTTCCCTCTGTCTTTCTACACGTCTCAGTTCTGCTTCTAGCATCTTGCTTCCCTAGAGAAGGCCTGCCTCCCCAGAGAGAATTTGGGGTTTCTCCTAGAACGAGGCATGAAGACATAATGAGGCCTCTGGCTACCTCCCTGCCAGATGCAGGAACTGCAGGACTTCTTGGTCAGCTGTCCCTGGCCAGTCCCGGGCCTCACACGAACAGAGGTGAAGAACCACCTGGAAGAGGAAGGACCTAGAAAGGAGGCCTCAGTCGCGTGCTTTGTTCTCTTTAAGCTGTTGGGAGCCCACGGCCCCACCAGGACTTACGGCGGTGGTGTGCATTCATTCCCTCTCCTACCGTGTGTAACAGGGAACTTGGAGGGAGGGGCGGGGGGTGACCAGCAGCAACCCCAGTTCTATAAACCTACCTTTCTGTGAGGAAAAACTATCGTGCCAAACTCTGCCTGGGACACAGCTGGGTCTTCAGCAGGCATCTGTCACTGCTGTGAGGATAACGCCCCTCACCTACTGTCTCCTGGTTTGTCATCTTCCCAGATGGGTCTGAAGGTATCCAGGTGCCTAAGGCCCCCAAGATCTGGTTAGGACCATTGCCACGATGACAGGGTATCCTGAGCTAGCTGCCATTGCCGTCTTGCAGCAAAGGGCATGCCCTGTGTTCCAGGGTCTGTGGTGTCATATGTGGTGACACGTACTGTCAAGCGCCATCTCCCTCACCCCCAGGGACTCACTAGGTGCCCACCCTCAGTATAAATATGTCTGATGGGAAAAGAATGGACCTGCCCAGACCAGGTAGCTTCTTGTGGCCTTGAGGTGCCCATCTGAAAGCTTGCTGCCCTCAAGCTTTCCCAGCCTCCCACCTTCAACTCCCCTACTCATGTCTGTTGTGGCTGTCACTCTCTGGCAATCTCCTGCACCTGCCTACCCCAGGCTGCTTCTCAGAACCATCTACACTCCGGCAGCAAGTAGAAGGGGGAATGTTCTGTGTTCTCTCTCTGGACACAACTTGGGCTTTTCCAGTGGCTTTTTACCCCCATTGTGGCCAAATAGGATAATGTCTCTGGGGAAGGAGAAAGGAGATCTTCTGTATTCATTTTTGTGTTCTCTTTTACTAAACCAACATAGGATGGATAGGAGAGATAGTCGGAGGGCGTTTTCACTGGTGTATGACCAAGGGGGGCTTCCCCCCCAAAGCAGGAATCCTTTGGCCCTGGGGTTTGGGAAGCCCAGCACACCATCAGGCTGGACTTGGCAAAGTGTTTCTCACTTTCTTCCCACCTTCTCTCGAGCCCCTCAACCAAGGTTCCTTCCTCATGGGCAGAGAGTTGGCTGCAATGAGCAGGATCCCACAGGGCTGCAGATGATGACCAAGCCCCGCCCTTCCTGGGCTGACTCCTCCAGCAGCCTCCTGAGTACTCCAAGTTGCAGCTGAGAGGATCGGAACACCACTGTCCCCCATCACAGTGCATAGCCCTTCTGTACCCCACCCTCACCCTCCCTTGCCCCAACTGTCTTTGTGCGTGGGCAAATGGGAAAAACAGTCCCCAGACTCAGCACCCCCTCTCCCAGGCTACAGCCCACACTCTGTCATCCCTGGTGAGGTTCCAGCCTAATAAGTTTCTTCCTTATTACCTATCTTTTTTCTCTACCCTCCTAGGTCCCGTCACTCAGTCTAGAGTTCTTGGGCACTGTAGTGCTTGCCCTTTGTTATTTTTCTTGGTATCAGAGTATCCCCTGTAAGTCACAGGTGGGCAGCTTAGTAGGGGCAGCCAGAGGCTGTACCCCTGTGTCTTCGGAACTCCCAGCCAGCTCGTGCTTTGTGACAGGGCCTCCTTCCCTAGTCCCAAGTGCCTGTCCCTTCCTCTCCTGCTTTCTCTACTTTGCCCACCACAGGCACCTAACCTACTAGTCAGTGGACTGGCCTTGGCATAGCCCCTGTGGTCTTCTCAGTGCACCTCCACTTGTCCCCATGGCTGGCTTCCTGATTGTCGCTCCCCTCCACCTGCCACCTCACCTGGGTCTCGGGCCTGCCAGCAGCTCCTTCTGTGTCATCTCAGCACCACCAAGTTTGTTAGACCTGTCCAACTTCTAGGACTTTCCAAACATTCAAACATGGGTCATTCATTCTTTTCTCCTTGGCTCTGTGACAAGGCTAGCCTATAGGAGGGAGGAGATTGGCCTCAGCCCTCCTGGGTCTGAGCTTGGTTTCCCTGAGTCAGAGAGGAATCAGCAGGACAGATCATAGTGCCTTATTCCATTGTCATCCCCTGCCAGACCTCCCTGCTGGGAGGGTGTGGCTTTTTTCTCCCTATCTCTGTCCATCTGTCACCTGCACTCTCTCCCACTCCCAGGGAGCCATGGGGGAAAGGATCCTCACCCCAGTCCCCCTCACCTCCTTCCACCAGGGCAGTCACTAGCATCTCTAGCCCAGGACAGAAAATCTGTGCTTCAGATGGGTGCACACTCTGCTTCATACTCCCCAGCAGGTCCTCTGCCTCTTACCTCTAGCCAGGAGGATGCTGTAGTCTGTTCATTCAAGACTGGCTCCATCTGACCCCTTTCTGGGCCCAGGACTATGGTTGCAGGCCTCAGCCTCATCTCATCCCAGGGGCATTGGGACAGGAGAATAGGAATTCTTTCCTCCAAACCGGATGAGGTGTGGCCCCCCCATGGCCCTTCTTAGGGGGTATACTAAATGTTTACTTAAGCAATACCCTGTTTACAGCTGGAGGAGAAATATGCCCGTCACTGGGTGGAGATTTGCTACTCTGGACAGGGCCTGCCCTCCTTTATGGCACTGCCAGTGCACTCTCCAGAGTGAATGAAGGTAGCAATGCCTGGGACAGAGGCGAGCCTCCTTCACTCCCTCTGCTCCCTGCCCTGTGGTGCTAGGACCACTCACCACCTTCCCTGCAGCCTCCTTGCCCCTGCCCGTTGGCCACCTCATCATTCCCTTCCTCCAGGATTCTCAACTCTCTAACATATCACTTGTCTCCTAGCCTAGAAAACCAGTGTTGAAGCAATAAGATTATTTTTGCTTGAATCTTTTTCTAAGAGAAGGAAAAGAGTTGGCATTGTGGGAATCTTTCTTTTTTATGCTGTTGGCTGTTTACTTTTTTTTTTTTTTTTAGAAGAAAGAGCTTAATGGATAGATGTCTGGATTATCTTTTAGAAACTTAGGAATGCAAGAGTCAGGCTGCTGCCCCTATGGAGGGGTCCTTGGCTCTGCCCTTGCCTGGCTCCATACCGCCCCCTCCAGCCCTGTCCGCCAGGTATACCTCCTACCATCAGTCATCCCATGCCCCTCCTCCTCCCACACCTCGGATTACCCCTCCCTTTGACTCATTTTCCCTTCCTAGGCCTGTCTGGCAGCCCCCAGGCAGACACAGCTGCTGGGAGTCTCCTTAGGCCTAACAACCTCAGAATAGCCAAGCTGGCATTATTCAGCTCTTCAGGCCACTGAGTTCTAGATGCAGAAAGTCAGAGGTATTGCCTCTGCCATCCTCCTGCACTGGGCTGCAGCACAGCCTCTGAGACAGCACAGGCCCACCTCTTACCCTGCCTGCCTGGGCTCTGAGCACCTGGGGCTCCTGTCTGGAGAGATTAACCCACTACCATTGGTTGCTCAAGGGTCCCCTAAGATGTCAAGAGTATCAGAAGGGAGGCTCTCCCATGTGTTTTTCCAGGAGAGGCCACGGGTGGAAGGGAACCTATTTAGGGGCATTCAAAACAATCTTTTGTGCCCAGGGGCTTCTTCCCATTGGAGCAGGAAAGTATATTTCACTTATTTCTTAAAGATTCATGTGGAACAGACTTGAGTGAGAGGGAGGTTTTAAGCCAGGCACAAAGTTAGTTTCAAATACTAGTTAATAAATCTATTTTTCTTTATTTCCTTTTTTTGCACAGAAGCTGGTAATCTAGGACCTACATGTGAACAACTTTATATGAATATTTTTTGTACTTGGTTTACTTGGGTTGGTATGATACATTATATTTAAGTTCCTTGAACACTGTGGATCCCCCTAATATGTATGAATGACTGAGGCTTTGTAAATTAAGGGACGTTTGTGTGAATAAAGTTATTTGATGGGGTCAAAGAAGCCATATATGATTTGAAAACGAGTGTTTTGTGGTTTGTTGCTGTCATTTGGAAAGAGTGGAGACTTCAGCCCCTAGTCTCCAGGTGGTGAGTGGTGGAAAGGGTGCTTGGCCACCCCAGTCCTCCCTGCTTGAGAAAGCTGCCTTCTGGCCTTCCCTCTACACCTGAAAGATAGGCACTTAGACGTGAAGGAGCCGTGCGGCTTGTACTAGGGCACCCCAGGTCCAGACATGCCCTGGTCTCTTCCAGGGCCTCAGCACACATTATGGACCCCTCTACCTCAGCCCTGCAGTTCAGTTTCTACCTCTGAGGGGTTTTAAATGTGGAACTAGGACAGGTGTGCCTCCATATGCCAGCAGCAAAGATGAGGGTCAAGTTCTAGAAAAACTCAGCAGAGAGGTAAGTTTTGTCAGGTTAAAACAGTTCTGGAGGCTCAAGGTGTACCATCCACGTCTGGAGAGCATTGGGGTCTGGGTAACAGAGCACAGCCTGTCTCCCTTTCTGCCTGGGCTAACAAAACCATGTCTCATGAGGAACACAGCCTAGACTTTATTAAAAGCTAGGTGGCTCTGGCTCCACTGGCCTGTGTGGCAAGTGTGATGTGAGCCCCTCGACTGATAAGAAATTGATACTACAGGGTGAGGTTCTGGTGGATGGGAGAAAAGGAACTTCTGCTTGCCTTCTAGGCAGGTAACCCAGCCTCAGTGAACATCCATCCTAAAGTGTGGGCAAAGATAGCCACCTTCTGAACAATTGAGGTGACATAAGAATCTAATACTGGGATGAGCACAGTGGCTCATGCCTATAATCCTAGCACTTTTGGAGGCCAAGGTGGGTGGATTGCTTGAGCTCAGCAGTTTGAGACCAGCCTGAGCAAGAGTAAGACCCCATCTCTAAAAAAATAGCCAGGAGTTGTGTGCGCCTATAGTCCCAGCTACTTGGGAGGCTGAGGCAAGAGAATCACCCAAGAGTTTAAGGTTGCTGTGAGCCATGACAGCACAGCACTCTACTGTAGGCGACAAAGTGAAACTCTGTCTCACTCTGTCTCAAAAAAAAAAAACAAAACCAAATATTGGGCCCTGCACATACTAGGCACCCAACAAATGATTCTATAGTTTACTTTTCCAAAGAGATAGGTCTGGGATTCTCTTGGAATCTGTTGGACACTTAAGCCCGGGCCCTCCTGGGATCACGTGCTGTGGTGCAGCTTTCCCAAGGGGGACCGGTGAGCCCAGGACAAAAATCAAACTCCAGCAGGAAGACAGAGTCAGAACTTTGGAATGTGTGAGTTAGAGGCAAAGATAAAGCAGGCTTCCTGCCTGGTCTGAGCGAACACGCTATGTCCCAGGCCTGGGATTTGGTGTCCACTGGCTGCTGGGGACGAAGCTGCTTACAAAGGATACTTCTGTCCTTAGCCTGGACCACAACCTGGAACTTGTAGGACTACTCAACAAGTTTTTCTTATTTACAGATTTATTGAAATAATTCACCTTTTGAAGTGTGCAATTCATCTTCCTAGAAGTGATTATCAAAAAACCATAAAGTATACAATTCAATGGTTTTTATAATGGTACATTTACAGAGTATGCAGTCATTACCACTAATTCCAGAACAGTTTTATCACCTCAAAAAGAAACTCATACCTTCAGCAGTCACTTCCCAGTTCCCCCATGTTTTTAATTTCCTTGGTATATACCAAGCAATGGAATTGCTGGGTCATTTGGTAACATTAATTTTTGGGGGAACTGCCAATCTGCTTTCCAAAGAGGCTGGATCATTGTATATTCCCAGCAGCAGGTATGAGGATTCCACTTTCCTTACACTTTGCCATATTGTGCCATAAAGTGTTCACAAGTTGTTACAGGTGTCCACACTACATATTAATGGCACTAAGGTGAGCATAGCCAATAGCTGCTCTAGAACTCTTGATTCAGTCACTCACTGATCCAGCAAGGAGTCGGTACTCAGCCTTTGCTGAGTAGAGTTGAAAACAAGGACTAACTTGGCTATTTACTGGCTTTCTGACCATGGAGCAGATCACTTTGCTTTGTGTTCTCATTCACAATGTAGTAAATAGCCACTTCATAGGATGGTTAACAAGAGTAACGGTTTTTTATGCAAACCCCCTTCAGTGAGCATTTCCTCTCTCCCTGAGTCCTAGGCACCTGGAGTTAGGGCAAGGTTCAAAATTCAAGGGGTGTTGAGGAGCTCACAGCATGTGTTGGGCCACAGGTGATGGGGAACACGGGACATACCACAGTAACACATGGCCAGCTGAGCTCCAGACTGCACAGATGAGAAGCGTGTCACCCAGACCCTAGAAGGAAGAATCTGGAATACCACACCAGGCCAGGGTTCGTGAGTGGAAGAAGTTAGATGTCCGGGCCTTCACTCGTCTTCCAGCTCCGGCCTCTTTATTTAGTGGTTGTGCTCAGTGCTCGTGAGTCAGGCCCTGCCAGCAAGGAGTGTAGGGACCCATGAAGGGGCCTCAAGGAAGACGGGGATCTTATTACAGTGGGCTAGACCCCACAGAGGGCAGCTCTGGGGGCTGTGGAGCACAAAGGCCCCAGTGCCACCCAGAGTAGGGAGGATGGGGGAGACTCCCTGGAGGAGATGAGGCCTGAGGGGCTATGCTGGCTTCACTCAGCTGTCTGACTTCCCCTGTCCCTACCAGGCCATGCTGCAGCCCCTTGGCCTCCAGTGCCCTGATGGACTGCTCGCCCACACAGTGTTCTGAAGTGTGGTGGGCACAGCACCCTGTCCTTTCTAACCCCCAACTTGGAGAGCCACAGCATCTGCATGCCTCCCAGTATACCCTTACCTCATGATGCCCTGCCCTGAGGATCCCATGAGCTCCTGGGGCATTGAGCCCCAGCCCTTCAATCCCATCTCCACATAACTGAGAAATTCCCATGTAAGTCATCAGGAAGGAAAAGCCATGACAGAAGGCCTTAGGCTTCCTGCACTTCCATAGTGCCCAGACCCCTCTCACTGGCCTAAAAAGCCATCTGCCAGCCTCCTGCTTACTCCTTGGGCCCTCCTGCTACCCAGCACCGCCTCAGGCTCTCCCCCAGGCTGTCTTGATACTGCTGCTATAAGCACACGGATGTTTCCATCTCAGGCCTTTGCACCTGCTGTTCTCATCTGGGAGACATTCTTCACTGCTTCATGAAGGTCTCTGCTCATGTTGCCTGGGAGACCCTTGCAGAACCCTTATTTAAAGAAACACCAGCTCACGCCTATAATCCTAGCACTCTGGGAGGCCAAAGCAGGTGGATTGTCTGAGCTCATAGGTTCAAGACCAGCCAGAGCAAGAGTTAGACCCCAAGTCTAAAAAATAGCTGGGCATTATGGTGGATGCCTGTAGTCCCAGCTACTCAGGAGGCTAAGGCAAGAGGATCACTTGAGCCCAGGAGTTTGCGGTTGCTGTGAGCTATGATGCCACTGCACTCTACCAAGGGCAACAAACTAAGACTCTGTCTCAAAAAAAAAGAAAAATCAGCACATTGTATTCCACAGACGCATGAATATATTCATGATCTATGTGTATTTGACTTAAAAAAAGACAAAAAAGAAACGAAACACCTCACCATCGCTACCTCTTCAGCATACTTTTGTTTATAGCACTTATAACTAATGGAGTTTTACGTACTATATGCCTATATATTATGTATATACGCAAGTGTGCATATAAACATATTTTTTGTGTATATGTGTCCTTCAGCAGTGCCTAATGCACGACATGGTATGCTATCCAGTACATGTTTGTCAGCCTGTTATTCCACGGCTCCAGTAGAAGGAACTCGCTCGTGAGCCTTCAGGGAGGAGGGCAGTGCAGGGACAGGACCCAGTGCTCCTGAGCCTGGGCCAAGCCCTCTGCCTGGCCTGCAGCTTCTCATTCCTGAGGCTTAGTCCTGGGCTTCATTCCTGCCAACCCCCGAGAGGCAGGAATGAAACTTGCTACTTGAGAAGGAAATCACCAGATGTGAGAGAGGATAATATTGGGGTTTGATGTCTTTCCTCTGGAACAGGGATCAGCAGACTTTTTCCGTTAAGAGCCACAAAGCAAATATTTTAGGCTGTGCAGGGTGCAGGGCCCCCTGCCTTTTACAGCCCTTCAACTGTGCTGTTTGGACGGCGCAGGCAGCCACAGACGATCTGTGAACAGAAGAGCGTGGCTGTGTGCCAGTAGAACTTGATGTATGGATGCCGAAATTTGCATTTCATATAATCTTCACCAAAGTGTCACAAAATAATATTATTTTTATTTTTCTTCAACCCATTTACAGATATAAAACCCACACACCTAGAGTAGTCTTAAGCTTGCTTCTGTGAGCTGGGTTATCAACAGCATGGCCCATGACAAATGGACCCAGTTTAGAGACTGGCCCATATGTTGGGTCCATAGAGGTGAAGGTCATCTCAGTGTTGGTTAAGGGGGAAGAACCAGGCTCAAAGGTTTTACTTCATCCCCAGTTGGTCCCTTGGCCAGACAGCTCTGGGTGTTGGGATGGACATGATGTAAGGAAATAGACATCACTCACCACCTGACACACCTATGAATCTAGAAGCAGCAAAGTATGAAAAAGTAATTGGAACAGAGTCACGATACCTGAGTCCAGATTCACCATGGCCTCTCCCAGCTGTGTGGGATGCCACCTGTCCTCTCCCCTCTCTGGCCCTCATAGCACTGTGGATCCTGTAATGAGACACCGAGGTTTGAACCACTGCGTTACTACTTACAATCTTGTGACCTTGGGCATGTTACTTTCCAATCCTCAGTTTTATCGTCTGTAAATAGCAACCTCACTAGTACCCACTTGTAGATTTTTCTGAAAATTACTGACAATGCATGTATAATACAAGGCATGTGGTAATTTATTCATAAGTGGTATTTATTAATAGTATTTTTAATAGGCTCTGATCCAATGTTACTGAGAGTAATTCTTAAGGCAGAAAGACATCCTGTGAGATGCTCCTCAGATAAAAGGGCTCCACAGAAGGTCAAATAATGTT